GGGTCTCAAACCCAACCCCGACCCGAAATGGCTCGCGACCGCTTCCCCGGCCTCGCTGCCCTGCTCTTCCTGGCCGTCCTCCTCGCGCCCCTCGCGGCCGCCCAGCTCCAGATCTACACGGGCTCCGACAAGTACCTGTACCAGGGCTGCTTCAACGAGACCAACGACATCGCCAACACGGCCCACGAGCGCGCCTTGTCCGGGGGCGCCTCCCGCGTCTTCCAGGGCAACATGACGGTGCCTCTGTGCCTCAGCTTCTGCAGCACCGGCGCCGACAAGGAATACACCTACGCCGGCATGGAGTACTCTCGGTGAGTTGCCCCCCCCCCCCCCCCCCCCCTTTCCACCATATCCGCATCCCGGCCCTCATAATCGCCGACGGGCGGCCACGCTCCAAGAACGAAACGACTGACCGGGAGGGGGGTTACGCGGGGGGGAATAGCGAGTGCTGGTGCGCCCAGATGATCTCGGGCCTTTCGGTCAAGTTCGACGACAGCGAGTGCAACCTGCCCTGCGACGGCAACCAGGGCATGGTCTGCGGCGGCGCCCTCAAGCTGAGCGTGTACAAGTTGAGCGCTGGCGTCCGGTCCGCCGCCGCCGCCGCGACATCCTGGGCCGCCGTGCTCGCGGCGGCGTCGGCGGCGACGTACGCCATGCTATGATGTCGTCGGTTCCTCCGTCTTCTCTCTTTCTGGCGAGCGGAATTCTGAGGGGTGGGGGTCGCGGCAAAGGATGGCATAGCGCAGAGGCTGTGCAAGATCACCCGAAAGAGCTTTATTATCATCGCTACTTTGAATATTCATGTGTCAACAAACGGCGGGGGGAGGGGGACACACCACCCTGGTATCCGGGTTACACAATTTCCCCATTGCATCATTGTCTCGTGTCACCGCGCGTATCTCGCCCAATTGAGCCCGATGCGGAAGATAAAAAAGTCAGACAAAAGATGCGAGTCTTGCCGGATACACACGTCACGTGTTATCCTGCAGAAATGGTATCGTGTCGTTATTCGTAAAAAAGTTATACAATCGATAGATCCTATAGTCTCAGAGGACCCAGGCCCCTGCCCTCGACGGCTCTCTGGACTTCCGCCTTGATATCCGTCATGGTCTTTCTCCACCCCTGCTTGCCGCGCCCCTCGCTGCCGTCCTCCTCCACCAACCAGCCGAGCCAATGCACCAGCTTCGAAGCTTTGTGCATGTCCCGCTCCTCCGAGACGACCTTGGAGAGGTATTTCTTGAACACGAGGACGTCGTCTTGGTGCGGGCCGTCGAGCCGGGTCCCGTCGTGCCACGCCTCGAGCATGTCCTTGACCTCCTGGACCGATTTCACGGCAGAGCCCATGAAGTTGACTTTGGGCGGCGGCGCCGGAAACTGCAGTTTGGTTTGTCCAACAGGCAGAGAATCGCCCAAGTCTCCGGCCTGCTGCCGCCGAGCAGGAGCGTTGAACAGGAGCCCGGACCGCTTCGCCAGCCGCTTCTTGCGATGGTCTTCGATGATTTCCTTGCGCACATCCTCCGGAAGCTCCGCGAGGAATTCCTGGTCCAGCTCCTCCGTCTCTTCCTGGGCAGGGTTCCCGGCTTCTTTGTTGGACAGAAAGTTGGTCTGCAAGCGGTTTGCTGCCGCGTCTTGTTGTCTCTCCCTGGCGTTGTTGAACAAGCTTCTGCCGCCTCTCTTTGTCGGCGTCGTGACTTTCTTTGCCTGGATGAGCCTGTCCTTGCGTGGGGACTGCGGCAGGCGGGTTTGCTGAACCTTGTTGCGACCGTACTGTGCCAGGACCTCTGCCTTCATGTCATCAGGTAGGGCATTGAAGACTTCCGGGTCTACCTGTGAGGGCACCTCGCCTAGCACGGCAGGGCTGTTGCTCCGTGACTTGACCTGTGGAGACGCCTGCCTTGGCTCTGGCTTCGACCTCTGGCCTCTCTGCAGCTTGGCCCGGATATCGCCTGGCAACTCGGCCAAAACCGAGGGGTCAACCTGCGAAGGTAGGATGAACTGAGTTCCCATGATATTCAAAGGCGTCTGCGCCTTTGCATCCCTTTCACCGGCTCGTGCCAGTGCTAAAGCAGGGTGCACTTTGCGTTTTCTCGGTGTCAAGGGATCGTCTGCGATGGGGTCCTGCGCCACATCTCCTCGGTTCTGGGTAGAAGCTCTCGGCTTCTGGGGGCTCTTTGAATCCTCGATGGGCTCCACAGCAGCCTTCTTCGCCCCGGCTGGGCCGCCAAAGTTGGGGAATACCAGGCGTCGCTGGCTGCTCTCTGGACCGGTTGCGCCAGATTTAATCGGCTCCAGTTTTGTCAGCTGGACGCCAAGACCTCGAAGGTCACCCGGTGTGAACCTGTACGACCGAAGTATTGATACGGCCTCCTTGGCGATCGTATCGGCGTCATGGGTCGCCACTCCAAACAAGATGCTCTTGCTGAACGAGTCGCATTTTCCGTGGCCCAGGTGCTTCGGGGGATCCAGGGGTGCATCCAGGGCCCGGCGCATGATTTTCATGGTGAACTGCTTTCCTTTGACTTGCTCGCTTAGCAAGCGTCGTTCCAATTCCTTGCAGAGGTTGAGAATAAACTCTTCGGCTTCTTGCTGGTTGATGAAGCGGATGCCCCAGTTCACTTCCGCCGAGACGGACTTCCGGGGCGGTTGCTCTCCGACCTCGGTCCGGTCGATGCCGCGGGCGTACTCCCAGAGCTTCTCTCCGGTTTTGGGGCCCAGTGTTGACGACAAACGCTCCTTGGTCACCTGTCGGATGTCTTTGACAAACTTGACGCCGATTTCCTCAAGCTTTCCGCTGAGACTATAAGCAACCCCGGGCAAGTCCTTCACCTCGAGTTCCCCGATGATGTCGAGAACTTGCTCCGGCTTGATCTGGAATTGTCCGGCAGGCTTTGCTCGCCGCAAAGCAACCTTGGCAAGTAGGATGTTGCTTCCGATGCCTACCGATACCGCACAACCAGTTGATTCTTTAATTCTGTTCCGAAGCTGGAGCGCAATCTGTTCGGCCTCTTCTTGCTCCCTCCACATGCTGCCTTCGTCCAGTCCAGTGCCGTTGGCGCCCGCAGTGGATATGATGATCGAGGTTATGTCCACGAGCGCCTCGTCAATGCTGACGCTCTGAACGACTCCTCCAAGCTCGAGAATCGACTCGTAGAACAACCGACTGGCTTCTTCGTAGGCAGGGAAATCATAAGGCAAGACTTTGATGTCAGGGCACAGCTCCAGCGCCCGCTTCATCCACATGCCGTTCTTGATGCCGAACTTCCGCGCAACATAGTTGCAGCTTGCGATCTCGGACGCGGTTCCGCTGCTGTGAGCGACCACGGCTGGCTTGTCCACGTATTGAGGCTTCTTCTTGAGGGACACCGCACAGAAGAAGCTGTCAAAGTCGACGTGGATGATGTACCGCCGCGACCCTGGTTTCCTCTTGATGGCCTTGGGGGATGCCCCTTTCTCCTTGGCAAGATTTTGCATTTTCGATTTCAGCTCGGCTTTCCATGTAGAAAGATGGTGTAGACGGCTTTCGGAATAGAACTGCTTCAAGAAATCAGGGTTCGCTGTTGATGACTTCCATATCTTGGGGTCTGATAGAAGGACGGCATTGTGCTCCTCAGAGGTCATCTTCTCCGGTGACTTGGTTTCTTGCTTTGGCTCCTTCTCGAGAACGGGCGGGGCGATCTTTGCCTCGAGTTCCTCAACTCTGGAATCTTTGTCTTCCTCGGGGAGGATGTCGACCACCAACTCGTCAATCTCCATGTCGTCAAACTCTTCGACGTCATCTTTTTCCTTGAGCGGCAGCGGTTTCGCAGAATGCGAAAACGATGGACTGTATGAGTGTCGCGCTTGGGGCCGAGCAAGGGGCGATTCAGCGCGCTCCGCAAACTGACCCAACGACGGTGTCGCAGGACTTCCGGCGGGTGCCTTGAATTGGCTTGTGTAAAAGCTGGCGTCCGTCTGCTCCCTATAGCCCCTTTTGGCTTGCGGTGTTGTTTGGCTAACCGTTTTGGAGTCATCGAGCTTGAAGACCTTCTGACGTGGCCCGTCATTGTTGTTCACCCGATAGTCCGACCAAGGCAACAGTCTCCCGGCCTCGATCGAATCGGTGACCCAGGCCGGCTTCACGAGCCTGTATCTGCTGTAATCGACAGATTTCTTGGGCGGAACAGAAGACGCGATAATGTGCGTCGCCATGGTTTTCGAGTCCAGGTACTGCAGGAATCCTGCGCCATGTTGAACCAGCATGCGGTGCAATCTGGTAGGTTGGTGTGAGTGGTAGGATCTCAAGCAGGTCCCTATGAAGGGCGACATACATATGAAGCGGCGGTTGCGTATAGCCCATAACGTGCGCAACAACACCCTTGAAGATTTGAGGCTTGTCGGGCGAAGCAGATCGCATCTCAGCATCCAGGTTCTGCAGCTTGATCTTCTTGCGCCTGAAATAGTCGCCAAAGCCCCCGAAAGCGCTCTGCTCATATTCTTCACCAGTCTCATCTACGAAGTCATGGTTTTCAATCCGCTTCCTCACTTGCGAGGAGTTCTTGTCGAGGCGACTGTTCATGTTGCCGCTGCTTTCGGAGCTCGGGCGTAAATGACGGCTCTCTCCAAGAGTGTAAGAGGCGGCGACGGTGTGTTCATTGGCGGTTCTGCTGACCCCTCGAATACTATCCAGTCCAAAAACCCAAGTACTTGATGGCAAACATTTTCATAGAGGCGAAAATTGTCATCGGCTGCTTCTCTTGACGTGAATCGGCATTGTTGAATGAAGTGAGTTGGCGATGGAAGACGGAGCACCGGCCGCGGTGAATGCCTGCAAGGAACCGCGTTAAGTGGTGTGGGCCAGACGCGTTTCTGCACGCCCGCCCCACCCCCCCAATGTTCCACATGACTAATCGGGCCTTCTGTAGCAACTTTGGAAACCTGCGGGTAGCTCCAGCAACGTTAACCGTCGACTTGGCCCAGGTCGTAGCTATTTCTCTACGTTGACTCTGCGAGGAACTGCGACCATGAATAACGAACAATTCCGGAAGCTTTTGGGTGCCGAATCGAGCAAATCCCTGTCTCCGAGCAATGGAACGCCCCAGAGCAACGCCAGTCCAGCCGCTTCCGGGGCGTTGGGATCGCGACAACGATCGAGCATTCCCATGACTCCGTATGTTGCACCATCGACCCGCTCACTTTGATTGCGTTGCTGATCTGTCTATTAGGCGCTCTGTTGGGATCGGAAATAGTCGAAACGAGTTTGCGCGACAGCTTGCTGCAAGGAATCAAGAGACCCAGCCGCAAAAGAAATTTCGCACATCAACACCGAAAGGATCGAGACTCGCGGAGGGCTATGTTGACCGAGCACGAGACCGAGCTGATGAGGAAGAAGACGACCGCGCCAAGCGGATAAAAGCGCTAGAGGAGGCGCTGAAGAACGAAGAAATTGACCAGGCGACATTCGAGAAGCTTTCCAGCGAAATCGCCGGAGGAGATCTTTCGAGCACGCATTTGATAAAGGGTTTGGACTTTAAGCTCCTGGAAAGGGTGCGAAAGGGCGAAGACGTCTACGGAGACAAAAAAGGTGGCGACGAAGAAGAGGAGGTTCCGCCTGAGGAGGAAGTAGACGAAGCATTCGACAAGTTGGAGGAGACAGAGGTGCAGGCCGTCGAAAAGGAAAAGGCGAAGAAGAAGGGCCAGTTCGCACCCGTGGCGCTTGCTCCCGGGAGGAAGAGAACCCGAGACCAGATTCTGGCCGAGTTGAAGGCCTCGAGAGAGGCCGCCAAGGCCCAGCAGGAAGCCGCACTGGGCAACAAGTTCAAGAAGATCGGCGCCAAGCAACAGCCCGGGACCCGTATCGAACGAGATAGCAAAGGCCGCGAAGTTATGATTATCGTCGACGAAGATGGGCACGAGAAGAGAAAGGTTCGCAAGATCCAAGCAGGCGCCGATGAGGAACAACGTAAGGAATTCGTCCCGGACAAGGACGCGAAACCGCTAGGGATGGAGGTGCCCGAGTTCTACAGAAAGAAGCAGGAGGAGGTCGAAGAAGACGACAACGACGATATCTTCGCCGATGCAGGGGACGATTACGACCCGCTCGCCGGGATGGACGACAGCTCCGACGAGGACAGCGAAGGCGAGGTCAAGGACACGACAGAGGCCAAGGACAAGACAGAGGTCAAGGACGAGCGCAGCGCCGACACAATAGCGATGCCGCCGCCACCACGGCCGGCGCAGGCCCGCAACTACTTCAAGGACGCAAAGACGGAGCTCATCTCGTCGCAGACCCTTAAAGGGCCCTCAATGTCGGACCCGGCCATCCAGGCTGCTTTCAAGAGGGCCGCACAGCTCAACGCAGCGAACAGAGACCAGGATCACGACGAGGACGTGGAAGACGACCAGGAGGCCAGGGCTCGGCGGGAGCGCCACAAGAGAATGCTGCAGAGCGCAGATCGGGACGCCGAAGATTTGGACATGGGCTTCGGCACCAGCAGGTTCGAAGACGAGGCAGACTTTGACGACGCTCCGGTCAAGCTTTCGGAATGGGGCAACGATGACGACGAAGGGGACGGCAAGGGCGGCAAAAGCAAGAGGAAGAGGGGCCCTAAGAAGAGGAAGGGCGACGCCAACAACGCGGCCGATGTGCTCAGGGTGATGGAGCAGCGGAAAGCGGCGAGCAAGTCGTAAGCTTAAGCGGGTGACGGGGGGAGAGTCACGCATGTCCGTTGCTCTCGGAGCCACCACTGTGCAACTGGCTTGCTAGTTTGCCATCATGGGAAGTCACCCGCCAGCACACTCCAGCCATTGTCTGTACAAATTGATACCCTCTACACCACCCCGCCAAGATGGCCAGCGCGATCGCATCATACACATGTACAACACGCACGCGCACGCGCACGCGCACACCATTGCCCAAGCATGTTGCCAGGGCTACAACTGCTTGCGTACTTCTTCCCTGATGACCGATCGGCTCTGTTTCGGCCTGGACACCGCTCCCATCCTCCCAATCCCTGCCATACTTTCAGGCACCACCGGTGCAGAGTAACCTTTGCGGCGGCGGTTCCTCAAAGCTTGCGCGCGGATGACGCTGAAGACGTCAGAGTCGACGATGACTCATCACTAGCCCGAACGCTCGACGGTCGACGCGCCGGCTTCCAGAACACGGAGGAGGCTCTCTGTGTATGGCCCGTGTGTGGGCGACCTGCGTTGCCTCGCTGAACCTTCCGAACCGGGGTAGGGGGGGGTAGTAGTACATTGTAGGTACGCGAGTCGGGTGGCAGCAGTGGTCAGTGGTCGGAGGGCACACCTGCCCGCCTCGTCCTTTGTGGTGGTGACCAGAAAGGGGGCCCCGCTCGACTCCCGCCCACGGCGCGTGGCACCCCCGCGTTATGGCATTCGCCCAGTAGGGTTAATCGCAGCAATGTCGGACGGAGAAGTCGACAGGATTCCCTCCCAAAGAGCTCGGCGTCGGCACCCCACCAGCAAGGCTTGTCCGATGTCAGTCGAGAGAAAACAGCGCAGACATAGTTTTTCTGTCGATGTGAAGATGCCGGCGAAGTTTCACGAATCAGTCACCAAAATTAAACTTGAATGGGGGGAAAAAATTATTTGCCTAGCACATGTTGCGTGCCCTTTTGCCTCTCGCCGCGTCTCCCGCCGTTGCCGTTGGGATGCATCTATGTTTGTATGTAGACCTGCGGCTCACCCCGCCCCATTGCCAGAATACACTACTACCTAAATCCATCATTCTACATCCCGCCCCGTGCTCGTTTGGTTTGGTCTTATCCACCGAAAGTGGGAACCCCCGGTACGACTAAAAGCGCACGGTACGCGAGTCTGCGTGGGCAGTCGGTCACCTTACCGAGGACAACTCTCTCACCCGTGCCCAATCCGCGGTATCACGATCGACCGTGATAAGCCAAATACTCGACATTCCAGACGTGTGAACTACTTGCTCGCCCGAGTCCCCATGGTCACCCTCGATCTTCCCGAGACGCCAGTGCCGGTCTGGCTGGACTGCGACCCGGGCCACGATGTGAGTTGTTATCTCCAACTCTCCGTGTGAGGGGTTGCACATCTTCATACAAACATCCCCTCCGGTATAACTCGGGAGCTGGTATGAGTCCAATGCAACTCCCGCGCAACCGCCCCGACTTTCGCGACTCTCCCGCATCCAGTGCACACATGACCCTATACTAACACGCAATCAGGACACGTTCGCCATTCTCCTGGCTGCCTACCACCCGACCATTAAGCTGCTGGGCCTCTCCACCGTGTTTGGAAACGCCCCCCTCGTGTCAGTGAGCACCTCATGCCAGATATGGGGAAACAAAAATGGCCCCCCACCCCAACGGCACAGCCTGCTGACAGACCCTCCCCCCAATGCAGGAAGACGACGAACAACGCCACCTCCATCCTGACGGCCATCGGCAAGCACAATGACGTGCCCGTCTACGTCGGCGCCGCCAAGCCCATGAGCCGCCCGCCCATGCAGGCCGCCACCGACATCCACGGCGAGTCCGGCCTGGACGGCACCGACCTGCTCCCGAAGCCCTCCCGGGATGCCAACCGCACCGTCCCCGCCGTCGACGCCATGGCCGCCGCCCTCAAGGCCCAGCCCGCCGGCGTCGCCTGGCTCGTCGCCACGGGCTCCCTCACCAACGTCGCCCTCCTCTTCCAGAAGCACCCGGAGCTCGTCGCCCACATCAAGGGGCTCAGCATCATGGGCGGCGCCATCGGCGACGGCTTCACCGACATCGTCCTCGGCGTCGTCGACGGCGTGCCGCGCATCGGCAACTGGACCCCCTGGGCCGAGTTCAACATCATCATCGACCCCGAGGCCGCCGCCAGCGTCTTCAGCAACAAGGCCCTCGCCGCCAAGACCACGCTCGTCCCGCTCGACCTGTCGCACCAGGTCCTCGCCACCCAGGAGGTGCGGGACCTGCTGCTCTACAGCAAGGACGGCGCCGCCGAGAAGACGGGCAAGGGAAAGACCACGCTGCGCCAGATGCTGGTCGAGCTGCTCATGTTTTTCGCCAAGACATACAGGTAGAGTCCCCCCCCCCGGCCGCCGCCTTTCCGTACCCTCCCGTCCTTATTAGAACATACACGACGGGGAGGTTTTTTTTTTCTTTTCTTTTTTTTAGGGGACAAAAGATGCTGACATGTGAAAACTTTCGCCAGCGACGTGTTCGGCATCACCACCGGCCCGCCGCTGCACGACCCCCTCGCCGTGGCCGCCGTCCTCACGGGCACCAAGCACGAGATCCCCTTCCACGACTACGACGCCAAGAAGGGCAACTGCGTAAAGTACCACGAGCGCTTCGAGCTGACCGTCGTCACCGAGGGCGACATCGAGGAGGCCAAGGCCGGCCGGTCGCAGCTCGGCCGCACCGTCGCGCGGCCGCTGCCGCCGGGCAGCGAGGGCGTGCGGATACCCCGCGGCATCGACATCCCCATGTTCTGGCGGGTCCTCGAGGAGTGCGCCGAGAGGGCGGACCGCGTCAACGCCGGCGAGGTGGCGGGGCTGAAGGAGAACGGGGCGCTGGAGAACTGATCGCCGCGGAGTCGGGTGCTGCTGGAACCTGCCTTTTTTTGTGGTGTGTGTGTCCTACGCGCCTACATGGTATGCTTCCCGGTATTGATAGACAAAAAATCGTACAAAAATTCCCTTTGCCAATCATTGGGGCCGTCTGAAGAGGGCGCTGGAACGTGGGCCGCGATGACGCTGTTTCAAGCGAGCGGCGTCCGCTCTTCCGAAGTTGCTATATATATAAGTTACTGACGAATTATCTCCAGACCCCGTCAGCGTGTGTGAGGCGGCGCATTCAGTCATTGGGGCGTATCGACCCAGGATAAGTTGACAGGCTGTGGCGTGACTGTTCCACGACGTCGGCAAGGACCGATTTGCGACACAGTCGTAGGGACCCCTTTTTCCGAGGCCGCGCTCATCTCTGTTTGTCATCCGTCCGCAACCGCGGGCACACGTCTGGTGTGCCCAGCATGGACTCGACAGAGACGATGAAGTATCGTGGTCATTACCCCTCATCCATAGAGCAAGAAGAGTGCACCCTAGGATGTTACAAAACCCAGCAACATAACGGTCATCATGACAGACCTCCAGTTCATGTTGTTTACTCGAATTAATGGAAAGCTTATCTGTTGCTCCCCGAGTGTTGTACATAGAGGGTTTCCCTCATAAATATCCCAGTCCCGTTTTCTACGAAGTGAAAGAAAAGAAAAGAAAAAAAGGTGTCATGCCCCAGTCTATATCCGATCTTTCTACTTTCCTATAAATCACTCACCAAAAAATCTTTTCGTCAGAGCCATCGAGTCTCTGCAACACCTTCAACATCCTCTCATACGTCCACACCGTGATGGCGCTCCCAGGCGCGGCTTTAAGGAGACTCACTGTCAAACCCCGGTACAACCCGCGGGCGCCCTCGTTGGCAAGAATGATCCGCATGGCGCGCACCGCCCCCGGATACTCGGGTATGTTCTTGTGCACGTACCGTGACCTCGTCGGTCCCTGAACCTGGATGCGCTTCCGCACCAGATCGAGGGGGAAGATGGCCGTCTTGGACATGACGCTGGCCACGACACCAGCCGTGGCGTCACCGCCGCCCCAGGGCAGATGTAGATCCCCGAGCGGCAACCGCAGACCTTCGTACAGGGCGAAGAAGATGCCCATGTACGGCACGATCTGCGCCACACCGGGTCCGAGACCGCGGAAGTAGCCGCGCGGGCCCTCGTCTCGGTAGATATCCGCCACCGCCGTTCGGAGACTCTTGTATACGCGGTCGTTGCCCTGCGCCGCGAAGCGCGTCCGCAACAGGTCGAGGGGATATGTGGTCGTCGTGGCGGCTGCGCCGGCGGCGGCTCCCGCGATGAAGGACTCGGCAGCGCTCGGGAGGCGATTGTCGAACGTAGTCTGGAGGAACTGGGCCGTCGACCGGTATGTCATGAACTGAACGGCCGAGTAGCAGACGTACATCAGCTCGGCGGGAACATTGCCCTTCCAGAGCCCTGTGATGCCCTCGTTGGCGAGGATGTGCCTGATGGTGTTCAGGGTGCCCTTGTACACGGGCCCGCCGTTGGCGGATTGGACAGATAGAGGGTCGGAGAGCGAGTGCGTCTGCAGCTGGAGGCGGATCTTGACGACATCGAGGGGGGCGATCACGAAGCTGTTTGCGCATCGCGGGGACGGTTAGCGTGAGCTACTGTGGTGGAACAGGTGGCGGGTGTCGATCTCCCTTACCGTGCAAACAGGCCGGCAGTGGCGCCGGCCGTTACAACCTGCAGGCGGGAGCCCTGGGCGCGAACAGAAAGTAAGCAACGTGACGTGCAGCAAAGCGAGGATGCGTGAGCAGGCCGGAGAGGCCGTCACGTCAGGCGTGGAGGCCCTACCTCGTCCTTGAGGCGTTCGCCGCTGGGCGACATGCACCCGGTTGTGTCCTCGCGGGACGTGGCGCAGCAGATCTAATGCGTAGGTGGGAAAGGGACGACAGAGGAGGCTCTCTTCCTGCTCTGTGTTCGGGGATGGGCGAGTGGGATTCGGGACCGGAAGTCGAGGTCTATCAAGGTCAGATGGCTGGATCGTGTCGTCTGTGTGGCTTTCCGTCCAAGCGGCGCAATGAGATGTGTCGCAGGCGAGATGTTTGCCGTGTGATACTCTTTCTTCTTTCTCCCTCTTTTGCCGCGGGGCACTGCTGGGAAGTTTAAAACAATGGGATCGAGGCTTTCAGCAGTGAGTGAGGCTGAGGGGTCTCAATTGATGGTGAGCGCGTTTGAGGACGTGGCGATGTTTCCCGAGTCACAAGGAAACCACACAATGCTGGGAGGTCTGTTCGCTAGGCAAGTTGCTTGTTGATTCTCAATGTTTCTGCGACTGTTGGTTTGCTCGCGTGCTGGTGACTTTTTTTTTTAGTCGATAAACAGATAGCTAGATAAGGCAGCTAATTACGGATAGCTATAATGAGCTCGTTCGCCCACCCCGAGCATCCAAGCAGTGCGACGCAATACTAACAATAGCGCGCTGTCAGAGAGGCTCTCACACAATTACCTAGTGGTAGGTATACGGATACTATCCGTACAGCTCGGGGGATGTTTACCGCGGAAGGGCTCCACCATGAGCGTCACTGAAGCAGGGACACCAAGACCTGGCGACTTTACCAGAGTAGCTTAGCGGGCATAGCCACGCAGGGTCTGGTCCCTTTCAACCTACAAAGAGAGACAGAGGAGACAAAGACAGAGACAGAGACAGAAGCCATGGACACGGACGGGTATAGGCAGCAGTCAGTAGGTAGGTCTGCAGATGCAAGCTCGAGCTCAATTTCGACATGACATAGGACAAAAAAGCAAAGAAGAGATGAACGGGGCTTGGCTTTCTCACGGGGTCCCTTGCGAGAATCGACTCGGGTCGACTCGACTCGCCTCCTCACTCGAGGAATGGCAATGCGTATCCCGAGCCCCAAGACCACCGTGTGTGTCTTGTGACGACTGGAAGCTTCGTGACTAGTGACGCTGTCCATGGACGCCGAAGCACGAATTGAGGAAATGAAAGGAGGTGCGGCTCGGCCAGGAGTACTATTGATAGGCCACTAGATGGCGATAGGCTCTGGAGGCAAAGACACCTAACAGAAAAAAAAAAGAAGCTGCTTAGGGAGAAAAAGTATAGCAATGCGAATCCCATGTGGCAGGCGTCGTGACAAATGTCTTGTCTCGTCTAATGGCCCGGCGACTCATGTTTCGAGGGCATAGCAAACAGCGGCCATGGACGGGAGAGCGGAAGATGAGGTGCAGGCATGGCCACCTTTGCGGGTACAGATAGCAAAGGCATATGAGACAGATAGGACGAATGGCAAGAGGACTAGGTACGCAGTAGTACCTACACTAGACTTCGGCCAGCGTGAGTCGAGTCGAGTCTGACACGTGCAAAAGGAGAGGACGCTTCATGGGTGTGGTGTGGTGTGGTGTGGTGTAATTGGCGGGCCACCATACGCTGCCACGGTTCGGTTAGTGGCCAACTTCCCTCCGCCCGAAACGACTGCCCTGGGCGGTGTCGCAGCAGTCTTTGAAGTGCCTCCGCATTGGCCAAATACTGCCTGTCTTGGCAACCCGTCCGCCCTTGCCTCCCCTCGATTGTGGGGTCAGCCCCCCCGAACTCATGGGGCCGCGACTTTGCGTAACTCGACGCGGAGACGTAGCATAGAAAGATAGAGAGACCTTCGCCCTCTCGTCTCTCATCCGACTTCTCATAATAGTCGTGGCTTTCCCGTCTCTTGTTTTATTTTTCTCCCCATCCATCCATACCCATACTCACCTTCACCAACTCCTTCACACATCCAACATCTGCCTATCTATAACCGCCTTAGTTGCCAAGGCAGAAATTTCAGACCTTGTGCTGTACAGCGAGCCCACCAGTGGCTGCATGTGATATCATCACCAGTGCCTCCTCCCCACGCCAACCCTCCCGCTACCTACGACCTAGCTGTCGCTCGCATTGGGTTACCGCTTCTAGCCTCGCCCCGTATATATTACCTCCGCCACCACCGCCATTCCTCGCGAGGAGTGGCTGCGAAGCATCTACCCCGTTGCAATCCACCAACTCAACCTAACCCACATACATCACCACAACCATGACTTCAACCTCCACAACCCCCATGCCCAACATTGGCGGCCTGCTGGCTCCGTTATTGCCTGCCTTGGTGCCCGCAAGCATCTCTACCCAGCCCGCCATCGGTGTCCTGCCCCTTCTGAGTCCCATCCTGAGACAGAGAGTCCAGCTTCTTTCGGAATCCAGCACAGAGCCCTGGCTCCGTCTGTTGGCATACCACACAGACAAGGCGGCGCGCCTGTTGGAGATCGTCCAGAGCGGCAGGCTGGAACCGCACCCCGTATCAGGAGAGGTCGAGGTAGACTGGGAGTATGACGCGAAGACGAGGTACAGGCGCCTTGACCTGGAAACCTTGCAGGCCTTTGTTGCCCTCGAGGAGCTCGAGTTGACCTTTCAGCTCATCTACTGTGTCGGAGACAAGGACGGTGGCGGCGACGGTTGGAGGATCGGCGAGGTCAGCGTTATCGACAAAGCGGCGGCGCCCTTTGGAACCTTTGGTGGCTACTCAACCATCGCCGAGGCTGAGAAGGCCTACGCCGATGAAAAGTCCAAGACGAGCGTTTCCAAGGCACCAGCCAGCGTATCACACAACCATGTTCCCGAGGCGGAAGAGGAAGAGGACGACGGATATTGGGACAGATACGATGCAACGCCCGCGCGTACCCCGGCAAACGACTCTCCCGCCACCAAGCGCTCTCCCGCACCGCATGTACATCGGCCGTCGCAGCTTGGACAGTTTCGAGCAGATTCGGCAGAGGACGCCTACTATGCACAGTATGATTCAGTACAGCCGGCGATGGACGCCCATGACCCCGATGAAGAAGTGGAAGGCTTCGACGTTGCCCCTCCCCTGGGACTGGGCACTGTCGTTAACCGAGACAACTCGGATAAGGGACTCGTCGAGACGAACGGCTCCTGGACACTGGCCGAGGCGCCGCGTT